CACTGTCTTTCAGTTAGAGGAGAGCATGCGTGTGCAGACTGAAATTATTACAAAATAATTCTAACGGAATTGACTTCTGATATATGTTTACTAAGACTAAAGCAATTTAGTAGCTCGGGGTTTTCATTCAAGAAAATGAATGCCTTTTATCATATCTGATGGAAGATTTCTTCTGGGAAGTGTGGCATATTCTAAGGCTGATTTTTGTAGCATACCACTATTTAACTCCCAACACAGCTGAAATTAGATAGGTTGCCATAGGACAACATATCTTTTTATAACTGAGGAAGCAGGAAAAGAAGGGGGGTGCTGAAAAATGTTTTCCCCTTGAACACAAGGAATGTGGTTTTTTCCTTAAAGAGAAAACACCTATACAATAGGTAAATCGGGCGAATTAAAATGGGAAACCTCCCTCACTTCTCTCCCCAGCCCCCCAGACTTCTCAGGGTACCTAAATCGAAGAGAAGCAGATTAAGGTGAGCGGGAAGGCATGTTCTGTACTCAAAGCAAGATCAATCTTTATACATAGATCCTTTTTTGGCACCGATGTAGAAAATCCAAACATGGAGATACTTAGGTCTGCAAATAACCTAATCTGCATACCAGATGGATCTAAGGGGGAAAAAAATCATAGACACTTTTCCATATACACATATATTTTTTTTAATGTGAGCATAGAAAAACAGATGCTTTTGCTCCCAAAGGGTCTGTGGGCCTCTCTCAAGTAGTCTTATGGGGCAATTTAATTTCAGATTTCTAAAATTATGAAAATGTCTAGATTGAGCATTAGATTGAAAAAGAAATGGCCTCTTACATAGAAAACCAACTGAACATTTTCTGAATTATTTTTAACTATTCAGTGAAACCCAGCCTCCAATGTCACAGATAAGCACATGGAGGAGTCAGTAAGGGAACGTTTCCCCAAATGGGTAGACCATGATTCACTGGATGCTTTAACAAATAATTTAATGCTCTGCTATATGCTCGACTCAGTGAGTTAGTATGGAAGAGCTGTTTTTATCTGCAAACAAAACTGTTGTTTAAGTTTCAATGAATCGGGATTATGGCATTTTGTTCTTTCGGATCCTATTTGTGAGGCTAAAAATAAATTTCCTTTAAACAATGAATTGTATCGACATTTGACACATCTCTCCTTATTACATTTATCATATCCGCCATCTATCTCACCATCCATCACTTCCAACAAATCTTACAAAGGCACAGTGAATGTGGTACATGGATTTGGGAACTTGGTATTTCCTCCTTAAATTTCACAGTAGACTGTTAAGACAGCTTTTCTCCTTGAAGTTCTGAAACTAATTCAGAAAGAGCTATTGTAATTACTGTAAAAGCAAAGTTGAATATTCTCTTGGTTACCAGAGTCATTAAATAGCTCAGGATACAATTTATGCCTTGTTCATCTACAGCAGATGGCAAGAATCAAGACTGAGGACTAACGGCACCAGAATCACTCCCATTAACTAGTTCTTTTGTGCATTCTATCACACACCCCACCCTCCCTCCCACAAGCCCTGCACCAAAAATGCAAAACAAGGAAAGACCCAGCGCAAAACAGGACACTTTTTGCAGCAAGGGCTCACTTAGCTCACATTGGCAGGATCACTGCTGCCTCACGGAAGTTAAGATTTCAAGGTTCCGGTATCGGGACTAGGAGCATTTCTGTTGGAAACCTACCACAAAACATATCGTGGGGGGTTTTTTTAGCAGAAATTACCAATGCAATCAACCAGACCCTGATGACTCAGGCATTGACGACGAACATCCATGATGATCCTGTGCAGGAGTACGATGTTGTCTACTACGTCCTTTAAGTCAGCCTGTCACTTCCTCTGCTGCTGAAGTGCTCTTTCTAATATTACGCCCTCCCTCTCTACACACCCCTTCTAATTTGCAGCTTTTCGTTGACTGTGAACTGAAAGACCAAGATTGGTAAGAACTGTATGTTAAGTAAGAGTTAAGAAGGCGCTGGAAGTAAGGATGAGGAAATAATTAGGGCCTTCGAGGCAGTAGCTCTGTGACACCTAAAGGTTCCTATCTTTAACTTGCCCATCCCTTCCAGTTTAAGCTAAGTCTTGTGAGGTGATAATATGAGACAGCTACCTTCAAATAAGTGAGTTTCTTCTGAGCAGACTATCTGGGCAGGGACTAAAGCAGATATTCCAATAGCTTCAACTGTTTCCGAACCTAAAACACAGTGTATTAGGGAGTGACCCCCTCTCACGGTTATTTAACCCCCTGTGTGATTACATGAGGCACATTCCCCACCCCGAGTGCAGATGTTCTTCACTTTGATCTTGACAACTCTGCCGAGACAGGAAGGGCCAGGTTCATTGTCCCAGATTACAGATAAGGAAATGGAGGCAGGGTACGTTGAGTGATTTGCCCACACGCGAGCAGTGAATACATGACAAGGTTGGGCTCCTGGCTTCTCATGTGGGGCTTTTCTCACAACACTGATGTTTCTATGGCTCCCTCTCACCTCCCCTCTGCTCAAAAGGGCACTAAGCCCTTCCTCTGGTGAGAAAGACCCCATTTCCTTTGGGCTTGCTGCTTCATTTCTCTAAGTTCTGCCAGATGTCCTCAGGAATCGCGCTCATTTTTCTGGCAGAACTCAAAACCCTCTGTTTTTATTATGTTGAGGGTTGTCAGTGAATTAAAAATGCAACAGATATATGGTCCCAACTTGCCATCCAAAGTTAACAAATGTCACCAGTAAGGAGGTTTCTCACAAGCGGACACTGAAGAATACTTCCCAGCAGATACCTAACAGCTCATTTTGTGTCATGGCAGCGTGAGAAATCACTTCCTCAAGACATTCATTAACCTTTCATTTCCTCCATAAATAATCAGTCAGAAATGTGGCTCATATTTTAAATTAATCGAAAACAGCTCTCGCTCTCTCTCTCAGCCCTTGAAATGACTGGAAAGCTTCTAATGCCAGCATGATAAGCATATTTAAATATGTGGTTCCACTCCTCTGAGCCAGCTTAAACCTTATCTTCTCCAGGAAACCCTCCCTATCCATCCCAGCAGACTTTAAATACCTCTTCTTCCTCTTCTCCAAGAACCTAGAACAATTATTGGTATTTGACATTTAGCGCATATTAAGAAACCATGTAATGTACCGCCAAGAATATGGGTTCTAGAGGCGACAGACCCAGGTTCTAATTCCAGCTTTTCCACTTCTGAGCTGTGTGGCCTCGGGCATATCACTTAAACTCTCTTTAGCTGAGATTCCTCCTCTATAAAATGAAACTAATGATACTTAATCTGTTAAATTGTTCTAGCGATTAAGTACATAAAAAGCACCTAACACAGGGCCTGCCATATACTAGGCACTCAGTTAAGGACAATTGTTTTCACTGTTCTTATGGCCTTTTATATATACTTATGGTTTGATATGTATGCAATTTTGCTGTCTTATCAAGTTGTTTTTATTTTATCCTTTTTTAAGATTTTATTTATTTATGGAGAAAGAGAGAAAGAGAGAGCAGGGGGAGGGGCAGAAGGAGAAAGAATCTCAAGCGGACTCCCCACTGAGCACAGAGACCAACACGGGGCTTGATCGCCACGCCCCCGAGATCATGACTTGAGCCGAAATCAAGAGTCAGATGCTCAACCGACTGAGCCACCCAGGCGCCCCCTCAAGTTGTTTTTAAACCCTTTGATAACTGTGCCCATGGTGGAACTTGTCAGGAAGCTTAAGCTTAATGGCACCTTACTTTTATGGGTTCTTTCCAAGGCTTTACTATTCATGACTTTGTTTCACTTTTCTTAAAGAGGGCTCCTAAAGTGGTATTAACGTCAGACCCGGAACAAAACCTGGTTCCACTTCCGGTTGTATCTTTACCCTCTATGTGATCCCCCTCCTGGTGCCCACTCCCTGAATTCAGCACAGTACTTTGTACATAATCAGTACTTATTAAAGTGACATTTTGTAAAATCCTCAATTAACTGGAATTTGCCGTACTTAGCTATCTGGAAATAAGCTTATGTCAGGTATTTAGTCAAAAACTTGCGAATGACAACCAATACATTTGGTTGGAAATTATTCAATCCACTTACACATTTTGAAATAACAAAAATGCATTTTGTAAACTGTAGGGCTTAGAATTAATACAGTGTTATTCATGAAAATTACTGTAAGAATGATGACCCCAAGGCAGGGCTTCTCCACCTCAGATGTTACTGACATTTTTTACCAGACAATTCTTTGTTGTGGAGGGCTGGCCTGTGCACTGTAGGATGTTTAGCAGCATCCCTGGCCTCTCCCCACTAGATACTAGTCACCCTTCCAGATGTGACAACCAAAAATGCCTCCAGGCAGCTTCAAATGTCCCCTAGGGGACAATCCCCACCCCCACTGCCCTGCAGCCTAGCATCCGGCAGCAAAAGCTGTACAGATGATCACAAATCTTTCCTATTAAGGCAGGAAAAAGAAGGTAAGCATTTTAGAAAAGTCTCAATAAGCAAAAGTAACCTCGATTAACCTGAAAATCCCATTAACCCCATTCCCAGAGTGTTCTATTCCCTAAGCATTCCAGATAACAACAACAAAAAAATGTACTGTACATTCTATTTTCTAATTTGTATTCCACGTTCAGCCCATTTTCCATCTCAGCAGCTGAGTACAGAATCCAGTTCATGGGTGGGGGATCAGCAGCTTCATCACTTTTGCCATCTATTTTTAGTGACAGTGATGCTACTGACCTGGCAGTTTTGAGAGCTTTTTCTCCCTTGTTTTTGACACTTTTAACTTCAATGTTAGCAATTCTTCCTGTATTCTCTGCCTGACATTGAAATGTGCAAAAAGAACTCTGGTCCTATTAACTGTGATTTTACCGTATACAAAGACCTAACTCTGTTGATCATTTAAAAGTAATTCACACTAGCCCATCGATTGATTGCACTTCCCACTGATTAGGCAATTGGAAATGCCCTTCTTAAATAAGCAATATTTCTTATTTCTTCTTTTGCAGGTTGTGATCCTGGGGAAACATTCAAGAGGTTATCACTACATGCTTGCGAACCTGGTAAGAACAAGCAGAGTTTTTGTTTCCCAGGGCAATATATTCTATTTAGTTTGTGCTGTTCATAATCATCCAAAAAAGAAATACACAAAGAACCTAATGTGTTCTTTAGACACTTGGAGAAATGAGTCAGTAAATGCCAAAACCTGAATGCAATAGCCTTGTTTTCAATTATGCTGTCTCTGTTTTAGCTGTGAAGCTCGTATTCTCTTCTCATTTAAAACATAGTAATTTGAGACTGATTCTTCTTAGATCCGATTTGGATTTGACATGTAAACCATTTTATCCAGGTTTGGAATATAACACAAGGGACAGGGGACACAGGAAACCGACTCTTTCCCCAGTTAACCCAAGTAGATGTGCATATCAGTACTGGGTTTGTCTTTCCAGAAGCAGATCACTACCAAATCTTTTCAAATCAGATGCCAGAAGTAGGTTGGAACACAGAACATCAAGGGACCCTGTCAAAGCATACAGCCACCTGTATACTTATAATGAAACACAACTTGAATCTTTTCCTTCACATTTCCCATGCCTTTAAAATCTATGAAACTCTAGAAGCTAGTATTTCATTTAGGTTAGTTTATAGTTCTTTCTCCAAAAAGACAGTTGGTTTAGGAATTAACAAAGTGGCTTCTAAATCAGGAATATCTGTTTGGCAGAGGTTCTGAATAATACTATCTCCCCTAAATGAAAGAGAAATGTTAAATTATCACTGTAATACTAAGAATCTATTACATTATTACATAACATGAGTTCGAACCCCGATCTTGTTTCATTAGCACAACAGAATGATAATCATTATGGAGCTCTTACACCAAAAGAATAGCAACAAAGGTGAAAGATTATTATAATTATATTCTTAGATTTCTTAAATCAAAGAAAAAAATCTTATTTTGTTTTAATGATGAAAATTTTTTGAATAAGAAAGGAAATGTTACTTAAACCTCTGTCTTAGGAAGTGTGTTTTCCAACACTTTATGAAATGACGATTACAGCTACTGCTTTGAAATGTAGTGTGCATGTTCTCCAATAAATTGCTCAAAGTGGAACACTTCAGACCATTTGGGGGATAAATGTATTGACTCTTTTAAGAGGAGAAATCTTGATTCTTCATTTACATCTAAATACTTTCAATTTGGTTTTTTTAGGCAACCAATAAGTAAAGGATGTTTGCTGACTCACTGGAAGTTAGACCAGGGCTTGGCAGGAAATATGGATGTCACAGCAAGGCACCTGAGGGCAGTTACTGATGGGTTTTTACCATTTCTTTCTCATCAATAAGTATTTTGCTCTCCTTCCTTCCTTCCTTTTTTCTTTCCTTCCTTCCTTCCTTCCTTCTCCCTTTTCCTTCTTTTCTGCCTTATACATCCCAGGGTTCACCCATCACTGACAGTACATGAGATGACTTTACATAGTGTACACATAAACTTTTTTATTATGATGGTAATGTATTATTTATTGTGTGTTAGAAAAATATAAAATGAGCACATCGAAATCCAAATTTCATGGACATTATTACTTCATACAGGGCTAACGTAGAGATTTAATGTGTCAAATGTGTCAAATGTGTTGTGTAAGCAATAGCATGGGGAATAAACATATGGCAAGGTCTGGCTTTTGTGTATGTGGCTGTGGTGGCATGTGGATGACTAAAGTTTGGGAAAGAGCATTGAACGAAGGCAGAAAGTTTGGGTTGTCATACGGAGTTTGCTACTTACTAACTAGCTATGCTACTTACTAACTAGCTATGGGACCTTGCATAAGTCACTTCAGTTTCTTTACTGTAAAACTCAGATGGGAATGGGGGAGTTCTTTGATGTAATGGTTAGGCCCTTTGGAAGGAGATGCTAAGATATAATTAGAAGTGCAAGACATTGGGCGCCTGGGTGGCTCAGTTGCTTAAGCGACTGCCTTCGGCTGAGGTCATGGTCCCAGGGTCCTGGGATCGAGTCCCGCATCGGGCTCCCTGCTCTGCGGGGAGCCTGCTTCTCCCTATCCCACTCCCCCTGCTTGTGTTCCCTCTCTCGCTGTCTCTCTCTCTGTCAAATAAATAAATAAAATCTTTTAAAAAAAAAAAGAAGTGCAAGACATTTACTGGGAATGATACCTGTGAAAAATAAAAGAGAGAGGGTCACAAGTGGGAAGGGAGAGCTTAAGACCACAGTTCAGGTCTGATATCAGCCAAGGAGAGGGAAAGGAAGTTTGAAGAGAAGAGCTTCAGATGGCGGTATAGTTCTAAGAAAGTCTTGGCCAGAATAACCGAGAGTTCCAGTGCAAAGAACCCTATGCTGCCCCGAAACAGCGAGCCACTGCACCACCACCTTGCTCAGCCATTGGCTGGCCGCTGTTCAGGAAGAACATACCTCCTGCCTGAAAGCTGAGGCAGGTCCTGAAACTGGAGGCTATCAGCTCACTCAAGTCCTCGAGGCAGGTTCCATCTTAAAGGGAGATCCAAGCCATGCACATCAATGACTGGATGATACATTGAGACCTTCGCCATTCTAGAATTCTAACTGGGCCTCCTTATTCCTACCAACAATCCTTCAGACGAGCTTTGGTTTCAACTTGAGACCCAGACCTGACAGAAATGAAAGCCTATGGAGCATTAGAACTGCAAGAGAGAATCAGTAGGACAAGGTTGGAGAAAAGAATGGTTAACTGAATGCCTAACCAGGACTCAGAATCATGAGACAGTGGGAGGAAGCCTACTACAGGAACAAGTGAAGTCTGGTCCTTCAGAAAGACTGTAATACATAGCATCACGTCAGTCTGCCTAATGAAAACGTGAACTCATTCGCCATGCTTCGAACTGCCACTCCTCTTCCTCTAGTGACCTTCTTTTCATTTGAACTCAGCCATGTGTTTCCATAAGTCCCTGTACTCGATATCGAATTGCATGCAGGCAAGAGAGATAGGAACTGTTGCTCATCTCTGATAAAAAATGAGACAGATTATCCCATCATGGTTTTCAGGTTTTTTAAAGCAGATAAAAATACCCCAAATACCTCCACCAAAGACACACAAGCGCACACACGCACACACACATACACACACCCCAAAACTCTTTAGAAGTTCCTTAGATGGTCAAAAGGGTAAGTGGAGCTAAGATGTTTCCTTTCAGAATGAGCCAGCTGGATGAAAGCTGAGGACAGATACACAAGGGAACAGTCTAATCTGAGTCTTGGTATAACAATAGCACAGAACCCTTGCCTTCTTCTACAAATGCAAAATCAAAGACAGTCACTAAGCTTTCTGGAATCACCTGTACCAGAGCGCCATGTGCGCCCCTTGCCACGGAGCTCCATCTATCTGCAAAGACTTCTAGGTGCTTTGACATGGACTTTCCCTGGTAGCAATGCGAAAGTGAGAAGACTCATACAGTCCAGGAATGCTTCGACGGGCCTCTCATGGGTCAGGGTGCACATTTCACAGCAGACAACAAGCTGCAGAAAAGTTCTACCTTGTTGAAGTCCCTGGAAGAAACAAAAGATTCCATCAGAAGCACAGGCCAGAGATGTGATCTGGGGAACACACAGGCCAGAGGTGGACATCCCAATGATGAGAGAGCGAGCAAGTCTCTTACAAATTCTGTGTCAGGTGGTGATGTCATTTTTTGGGGAGTGGTTCCATAATTGTGTTCTCTTCCAGGATTCTAAGATGGTAATGTTTGCCACTCTGGTACCAGACGTAACCAGCATGCATACACTCTGTCAGTCAGGCAACCTCTCTCTCTCTTTCAAGGCAAGGTCCTGCATCAGGATCCTTTACACTGCATCCCCAGGAATGTTGTGTATTGTGATTTAATTTTTTCATTTATGTCAGTAATGATAGCTCAGTCATTGTGTACAGAACCCTAGACTAACAACCCTAGACATGATGAAAACAAGCACTAGACCTGGAGCTAGGAAACAGGTTTCCTAATCCATAAAATGGAGAGTTAGACCAGATTACTGTTTCCCTAAGTGTGCTACTTGTACACAAGATGATTTTAGGGAGTACACAGCAAAATTTCTTAAACTTATTACTTTTGAATTTGTATTAAATATGTAATGCAAAAAGATAACTATCCTCTCACTTCTGTGATTGTACAGATACCATTCTTTAGAATGAGGGTAAAGTAGATATTTAGGTTAAAAAAATTTAGACCATATAAAGAAAAATATTAGGTAAATTACAGCTCAGATGATCCACCTATATGGCAAAAAACTATAAAGGTGGCATATGTGGCATATTAATGATTAAAATTTGGGAAACCTCCAAGGTCACTTCCAGCTCTACATTTCTTCCCTCATGGAGGGTCAGTTTGGACCAGAGAAGGCCAGGAGTGAGAGTATAGGCACAACAGCTAGGCAGAAGCTGAGGATATAAATGGGGGAACAAAACCAGAGCCTTGTTATCCTTAGAGATATAAAGTCATAAGACAGGCTTAAAATCATTCCAGGTGGGCAGAAGCCAAGAAGGGTATGAGTACCCTTACCTACGTTCTGAACAGAGCTGAGGATCTGAAGGATCAATCAAAACTACCTTGTGGTCAACACAAAGTGAATTAGATCTGGGTTGAGATGGTCCAGCAACAGATCTTCAGCACCCAGCCCCAAAAATAAGACCAAAAAAAACACAAAAAACCCCAAGCATTTGGGGTGCCTAGGGGAGAACATGAGCCATACTGGACTCATTCAGTGCTGTACCAGTTAACCACTGTCTTAGAAGACCCAACAGTTTCTCTGCCTAGGTCAAGACCAACCCCAGAGTGGGGGACTGTTGTTGACCCTACAAGTGGAAGTTAGGTCATGTAGCTGCCACTGGTAGAGGGGCCTCATGAGCAGGCAGTCAAGGACGCCATTGCGCTAGGGAAGCAAAGAAAAGGAAGCTAACGTATCTCAGACTCCTCTCTGCCGGGCCAGCTATTTTCTTTAGATTTCTTACTAAATTTACTCAGAACTCCCATGAGGAGAGACCTCTTACCTAGTCACCTCCCTAAGCTTTTTAGAGATCAGGAA